TCACCGAATCGCTTATATCCAAAGTCAACCTGTTGACGGATTTCATCTTGGATAGCTCTGAATCTCATGTCTTTGGACATGCTCATCTCACGCAAAACTAAAGCGCCCTGCAGAATCTAGGTCAGGAGCTGCTGAGCAATAGACTTGAAGGAGACCATGGGCTAAATTGTATGACATTCCAGAGGGAACGTGCAAAGGGATGCGTTCTTAGAAGACTTACTATATATTTATACCTTTTGAAAGGATGTAACTGGGTTTGGCATAATCGTAGAATATTGAGGAATCTACCGGAATCATCTCCAAAGGAAAGAGTGAGCATTCCGTTATGTGAGCACAAAGAAGGAAAAATATCTGACCTAAAGGTTTTTATCAGAAAGCGAAGAAATTTTGGTCATGTTCTAGAAAGGGGACACCGAAAACCCTGGTGTGAATATCAATAGGTACATCAAAGATTGAAATATGTCTCGTATTCTTCAATAGAAAAAAAAAAGAATTCACTTATTATGCAGTAATTGAAGTACAGGTATTCATCTGTACAAAACAAAAACACTATTGGGAAAGGGCATTTGCTCCACCCTATGTATATTAGGGAAATTATATATAGCCAAGCAAGAAAAGGAAGTTATGGCTATGCCCACTTATACATGTACATATACATATGTGATAAGGATGATAGGCATATGATATATAGAGCAAGAAATACAAATAATGTAGACATAGGTCAGTTTTGAGGCAGAGATAAAGGTATAGATATAGATACTGAATATCTCCCTGGGCAGTTTTGGAAGGTCACGTATAGACCTCTGTGAGTCATGGTGTAGGTTTATCAAAAGTCAGGTAGAAACCCCTATGTCATTTAAATTTCTGCTTATCTCTTACGTAGCTGCAAAACACTTGACTCTCTCAGACAAACTTTATTGTTTCTAGTCTTATATATAAAGAGTTTCACTGCCTTCACACAGCAATGAAGGGTCAGAAGTTGAATTCCATTCTATAACGTATTTCCGTATTTCTTTTTAAAGGTACACTTCAGCATGAACGTGGTAAGTTACCCATTACTTCTCTGTGTTGAATGAATTGTTCACAAGTTAAAGGTCAGGCTTTTTTTTTTTTTTTTT